AACCCTGACCAGGCCTTTACGGGTAAGAGCAGTCCATGGGCTCACGGGCTTGGCCTTACTAAATGTGGAGCCTGAAAGAGAAGACATTACGAGAAGCTGTTAAATACAAAACACTGAGTAATATGTATTTTTTTATCTTTTCCAAACAAGCTCTGGTTAGGAGTTCTTCGCATTCTAACAACCTACTCATAACAATTACAGGAGCAAAGGAAAGCAAAACAGGTTGGATCAGCATGAAGAGACAATTTATACCAACAACCATCCTCCAACGGAAACTCACCTCTCACCAGGTCAACATCTATGAGATCAGGCTTAATGTGGCCAGTTTTCTTCGGCTTGTTTCTAATGCCCTACAAACAGGCATCAGAGTCAGTTGATTTTTGATTAACAACACAGTTTTTATTTCAGAACAGCACGCAGGGAACGTAATTTAGCTTTCCACAGAACTTATCTGTGAACTCTAAACTTCCTCCTACCTTCAGTTCAGCCTGCTCCAGAGACTTCTCCCATATTTGCTGATCATAGGCTCCAATCTATGAAATATTATGTAAGTATTAGACCAGATTTCACCATACTGCACTTACAGCCAACAAACAGACAGGAACTCTCACCTTTTCCTGATACCACGCTATTCTTGACATTGTTGAAATACGAAGGTCCCGAGAACCTCCAGTCAGGTCATCTGACTCATCTCCTACAGCAGCTAATATTAGACACAGCCCACTCCCTAAACAAAAGAGAGGGAGGAAAAAAAGGAATTCAGCTGTTGTTTGCATTGAAAACAAAGACACATTTACTCGAAGTAATTTCTGCAGGCATGGGCAGTCATATGAGGCAATTCGGCAAACAGATGTGGACTCTATACACACTGGAGTGCATACAATGTTATTTTACCATTGTTGTCTGCGGAAACGCAGGCATTTCACAGACATGATTCATTCATTTCGTCCCAAGACACATTAGCACAGCACATTTCATCAGGACAGCATGGTTCTTAGGTGACCTCCCCGTCCCCATATTGCTGTTGTTAGAAGAAAACCTCGTATCTCCAAAACAGTAACTTCACAGAAGGAAAAAACCTACTTTACTTTTAATGTAAGTCAATGGAAACAGACTTTTTTCCTAAGTCTTTTTGGGTTCTAAGGGTTTTTGGGTTCATTTCTTTTGGTCCATTCATCATGAAATTTACATACAGTCTAAAGGGCAACAGGTATTTTTATATTATGTCATTTGAAAATCATCAAAAACGGAGATAAAAGGTTTTCTTCTGACAACAATGATGTATACTTTGTTAACCCTCAAAGTGCATCTATATAGTAAGTGGAGCTGATAAAATGGACAATGAGCATAGAAACAAAGATAATAATGTCATAATGTTATGCCTGATCAGTGTATGTGTACATATATATATATACACATATATATATATATATATATGTACACACACACACACACACACACATACATACGCAGCTAAAACTGAAATTCATCGACACCTTACTATAATGAAGAATGAGGAATGAGGAATCATTATACATTATGGCACACCCATAACACGCAAACATGACGCAGTACTCACTATATCAATGCTGAAATATAAGCTACACCAATATTGGTGTCATACAACAACACAGATTTTTGGTTAATCACTTAAATTAAAAAAAATTACCTGCATTGGACAGCTGTTTAGACATTTATCATTATCCTGATAAATTACATCATAATATGCCACAATATGCTTTTCTGCGCATATCATGAAAATCACCAGCACTTAAAAACACTTTGCAATTGTTTTATTACAAAGAGAGCATAATTATTTCAGTCTTGTTGGATTTAGTGTAGCATAATATCTGAAATATTGAAAAATAAATCATTGTATTCACAGTTCTGACAGTATTTTTAAATGTAGCACCATTTCACCTTTTCCAATTTATAAATGTCAAAAATGTATATATGTATTGTTATATATCATGTATCCCATGTAATGTATCATGTTTTCCCATATCGCCCACCTCCACTTCAAACTGACATTTTCTGATGTATTTACTGTACTCTGGAACAATACAACGTTTAGGCAACACTGGGCCTCTAATGTCAGCATTTTATTTTGCTGCATTGGCAATCTTATATAAATAAATGTTATATTTCTCCAAGATATTAATTTTAAGACTAAATAAATAGCAAGCTTCCTTTCTGGAAAAGTGGCTTGCGTTTGCTTAGGTTAATGCGCACAATACTGTGTAAAGATGCCTCTGGTGTAATTGTAATAGAACAAAAAGAATAAAACAGACCAATAAAGGAAACTAGCTAACTAGCTAACTATGTCAGGTTTGAAAGATTTTTTCCGCATTGCCCTGACAGCATGAGTTTCTTAGCCTTACTAGCTAATGTTGGCTAACTTATATGTCACAGAATGTCGCAATACTGAACTATACTAATGCCGCCCAGATCGAAGTGCATGTTTTACCCTATTAAAACTTACCTACAGTAGAACTGGAGACAAAGAAGGTCTCTAGACCCGGTGTTTAAACCTCTGTGTAATTACTGTTTGCAGCATTTTAGATAATCAACTCCACTTAACCAGCCGAAATTTAAGAACTAGCCTTTGCATGACTGCAGTAACGCTAGCTGGCAGGCTAGCGAGTAGCTAAGCTAGCTACATTGTAAATACACGACAAACTGAGATAGCTATCCTCACCAAAACCCAGTAACCTGGACATACAACTTAGCGCTTTGCTTTTTCTTAGCCACTGCAGTAACCTGGATGTGACCTAGTTACAGTTTTCAATTTGCGAAAAACTGAAAGAAAACGGGTAAAAAGTTCGGACAGCGCGACTGAACTGATTAGCTGAGTTAGCAACCTCGACTGCTACGCTAACTTTCAAACTTGACAGCCGTGTTGAAATGTCAGCGGATATTTAAAATATATATATATATTTCATTCTAAACAACAATTTTATATAAAGCTGCGCAAATGTGGTTAAATTAAAAATAAATTTAGTCCACAGTTAACACTGGGACGTCAGGAACCGGGAAGTTCCCCCTAGCTTTGTTTATTACGGGAAGCCAGCGGCTTCGGCCACATACTGCAGTGTGAAGTCAGCCAAAGCAGGGCTTTCAGCGGTTTTTCAAAGTAAAAGAACAGAAATTACAAATATTCTGCATTTCTTCTTGTCAGTTTGCTAACTATAATAAGTCTTTCTTAAAACAGGACACAAATAATAAAGAGTTTTACAGTGTTTTGTTTTGAGGTTTGTCTGAATTTGACAGTTACTCCTACTAGAATTTCAATAAAGAATACGAAAACAAGGCCATGAATATAAAAGGCAATTCCACCGATTTTTAAAAAAGTTCTGCATAAATAAATCATGAAGATAAAAACAAAGCCAATCAAATTGATTTGATGTGAATTGCTCCATTATAGAGAACCTAAGGCAGAACAGTGGTGATAGGATCCAGTCTGAGCTGTATATAAAAGTTATAGAAAGCCTTTAAATAAAATGGTCTCCAATAAGTTTGATGCCTAAAACATTGTTACGATAAAACATTTTTTTTGCAAACAGTTTTTTCAAAATTTTATTTTTTAAACCCATTCATGGAGGAGAGGCGTATAGAGTGCATTCTTAGGCAAAATTGTCCCCAATGAAAATATATATTTTTTTCTAATTTGCCCATATTTTACCACTATCAATATTACATATAAAAGACACGTTCATTTATAATTTTGGATAACAAATAAAATTGCTACACTTGTACTGTGGACATCACAATCCCTGGTTCCTATCACCACTTTAAAGACATCCGAGTCAGTGATTTTCTCTACAACTCACCATTGAGCAAACTCAGACTCACAAAAGTGTCCCTAGTAAACTGGTCAAGTTGTGTTATGTGTCTGAAGTTTGCTTCGCTTTGTATTTGAACTACAAGACGATAATGTAGCTGGTCGACCTTATTTGAGGTAAGGAAAAAATTGTGTAAAATAGTAAAATAGTGTAAAAACACTGTGTTAAATCTTTCAGCATCACTGCTAGTTGGTGAGTGGTCTGCCTCCCAAAAATATCAAAACAGAGAGTGTTTCTGTGGTCAGAAACTGCATCAACAGCTGAGCTACAGTATCTGCCAACCAGCAAGGCGGAGCTACATGGTGGGGGTTTCTAATAAAGTGGCCAGTGACAGCACATGTGTATTCCAAGTGTGCATGTGAGTTTGTGTGTGTTTGCGGTTGCATATCTGGCTGTGTGTATATTGGACAGAGCGAGTATAGCTTATACTGATGTATTAATAGCAGTCTCTCTGGCTGTAATCCCACTAAGAGGCTTTTTCAGGGCCACTTCATGGAATTCAACTCGGGTATTATGTCTCCTGAAAACATCCCCTGATCCCTTGCTCAATGACTGTAAGCTTGGATGAATGTTTTTGTATTTGTGTATTGTGTGGAGCCATAAGAATTAATGTTCTTTGGAATAGGAATATTTGGAATATTGAATATTGTGTATACTCTAATACAGTACATAAGATTTCATTCTAGCTCAGTGTGGTACAAAATCAGACAGTGTAATATATTAATAAGCTTTAGACGTCTTTAGTGTTTCAGTGGCAGCAAGTGACTGAATACCTAAAGCACCCATATCCCTGCTAAAGCACTTGTGATACCCGGCAATAAATTCTGAGGCTTAGTCTACTTGGAAATGTTTATATACAACTTGTATGGAGCAGTGCTTCAAAGGTACTTGATGAATGAAGTCATCGGTTACCAATTCCAGTGATGTTTCAAGACATACTGGGTTGACCTACTTTCAAGAAGAGGCTTTTAACTTTCACTATCAGCTTGTAAACATGGTTATAGATAATGATTACTAGTGTAGCACGAAAGGATGATGAAATGTAAAGAAAGGATATCATTATTTTGGTGAAGGAACTTCCATTAGATCAGTTAAGCTTCATGTGTTTTGTTATTCTGTATATTTCTGTTGAAAAATAAAGAAATGAAAACACAGTAATTAATAGAAATGTCTTGTTTTACTAAAAATACAAATATTTACAAAACAGAACATTCAAGAATAAACTCGATGAAGTCCTCGTAAAGTTGCATTGCGTTTCATTTGAACAAATATTGTTCATTTGGAAACTGGATGCAGGAAGCAGTTCTTCATAGCTGACTTCAGCCAGTTCTCCATAGACAGTCTGAACAAAAGGCAGGGTCAGCTGACCTGCTCTGAGTCCAGTTGTTTTCTAAAACTCTAAGAGTGTGTTTGCTATCAGAATGCCAGAACACACTCTGGTCCTCCAGAACTTTTATCAGAATACTTTCAGAGTGCTGTGGTCACAGGGTCCAGGCCGTACTCCGGAGCAATAAGCTACGTCAAATGTTTGGCATGGTGGACAGCTGATGGTCATGGAGCAAATTTCAGTATTGAAAGTTGAAATTGATATTTAGTCAAGGTTTGTGCTATAGTCTTAGTCAATAAATACATTAAATATGAACAATTACGCATGACTAAAAAGGCAGATGTACATGTTTTGTTTGCTACAACTGTAATAGAAAATGTCTTCTGTAAATTTGTGGAATCATTGAGGCACTCTGCTACACTCGTCTGCTAGACGAGAGATATCTAATCTCAGATCAGTTATAAGTAATCAGTGGTGCACTATAAATGTGCTCAGTTTGACAGTGTAGCACCGGTTTTAGGCCTGATTGTCTTAACAATTAGCTGTCACAGCATTTAGCACCCACTTTTATGAGTGGCCAGGCTTTAGCCAGCCACCCATAATCCTACTGCACATGGTCACCATGGTTACACTATTCCAAAATTCCAGCTTCAAGAGTGCTTGTCCAGTGCTATCTCCCAGAAGAGAGCACAGACATGTGGTCCATTTAGCACCCCAGACTGAAGCCAAGCTCCTCATTATACTTGGAAGGGATAGTCCTGTAAGTAGAGCAGCAGCAGGCGCGGCAGGGGCAACTGTGCCGGACAGGCTGCATGTCTGTTTATTGCGAGCCGTGTGAGGTGCTGTAAGCTGGGGAAGCTTTTAGGCCTGTGAAGAGGCTGCCTGAGCTTCAGCAGGATAGCGCTGTCCTTAAGTGCCACTGAAGCATCTTCCCCTGGCTTGCCCCTGTCATCTCTCCCACCGGTGCCCACATAGTGCTGCACTAGGCCGGGCACGGTGGGGAAGGAGAGCAGCCGTGGGCGAGCAGGGGAGCTAGAGTCCAGGCGGAAGTGACCGCTGCTGTACTCAATGCGCACGTTGGTGGGACCCCGGGCTGTCTTCACTGACAGGGTGAGCATGTAATGTGGGTGACTGCTGTCCCGCACCAGGAATGTCCCCTCAGCCATGCCTGCCAAAGCATCCCTTGCTTCGCTGGCTGAAATACTCCCCCAGTACCAACCTGCAAAACCAAAGAGACAGCTTTACATTAGGTGTGTGAAACCCTGACAACACGATGATTCAATTCTGACGCATTATTAAATCTCAAATTTCACCATGATTTGTTGTTTCAGTTCGATGCAGAATTAAAAAAAAAAACACAAATATGACTGAAGTAAACACTGAAACAGTAAAAAAATACACAAGCTGTTTTTGTTTATTTTAACATTGGAAAATTGCCTAAGGGGTTGATTTCGCCTAATTATAAGTGCATGCTTTTTTTAATATTATTATAATCAACCAAAAAATTACTATTTACTATTTATTTCCACCTGTAAAATGATGCACTAATGCATTTTAACACCTCTAACAGACAATCTAGTAGCTCTTGAGCCCTGGGGAACTCTTTCTCTGCTATAAAAACAACTGACAATTCCGGTACTAATTAGCTACTAAATGCTAATGAATGCCAATATAGTAAAGATATAGGACAATGAGAAGTAAATCCACAGATGATTAATGCCTAACATGAGTAATTCAACCAGGCCGATCAGTTTATTAAGAAGCTGATGAGAGGTTTAGACTGAAAATAAGTATTGCACGAAACTCACAGGTGATTAAGATTTGACTGACATCTTTTAAAATAAACAAATATAGCGAAGCTGGGCCAGAGGACAAATCTACTAGCCAAATTATGACCATACTTGCCAGTTATTTTCTGACGTCTACATTTTTGTAGATATGTGAAAAGAAGAAAACTGGCCCTGATGAGAGTGTGCAGGGAAGGTGTGCTGTACCTGAGGCATGCAGGTGCTGAAATGTAGTGGTGATGCAGCGTAGGTCCTCTGTTGGGTCCCATGACTGAGGAGAGATGGATTGTACAGGGATCAGTTGGTTACAACGGCCTTCAGACCCCGCCCCATCGTTTTGAACTCTCATTCCCCCGGCAACCATCGCTGAGAACGGCCCTGGCAATGGAGCCCTTGAAGAGAAGGAAGAGATTTTAGTTAACACACTGATAGAAACAACAGTAACTGACAAAAAAAATGCAAAAAACACCCATTAAACAAACCTTGAGAAGTAACCACACAGATTCATGGGCGGATGTGTTAGACTTGGGCACATTCCTCTCATAACTATTCCATAAAGTAATGTTTTAGGCTATTCTTGATTAATCAGATTTTCATAAAGGAGTTGTTTATTTGACGTGCTTTGCTTTCACAGTAACATCATTTGTTTTGCACCTTTTTAACAACAGACATTATCAAAAGCAGCTTTACAGAAATCTGCATTGACTGAGCTGAGGCCGACTGTGGCAGGAAAAGCTGCCAAACTGACTAAGAGCATGAGGAAGAAACACTGAGAGGAACCAAGGCTTCAAATGAGAGGACATATCCTCCTCTGGGCTGCACCGGATAGTGGAGTTATAAAACAAATAGCGCAAGTTTACAAGTAAGATTAAACTGAGGCACTGGGATTATACAGAGGAAAGATCTGTGAGATAAGCCAGTTACAAAGAAAGCCTGTCAGAAATCTGCTGGACTAACAGACTACTAAATATGCCAGACATAGACAGAACCTCAGATATAAGAATGTGCCGGGCAAGAAGTACCACAGTACCAACAGAAAGTTAGAGTCACTCGTACAGACCTACTGCACATTTGATTCAGGTTAACTGAGGAGGCCCAACTTTTTTAGAAGCACGGTTGCTTTGTTTTAAAAGCTCTCAATGTTGTGAGCTTCTCAAATGGGCCATAACACAAAGATTATTTTAAAGATGGTGGTGTGACTGCTTTTAACACTACTTCTAGTATCTTTCCCTGATGATAGTTTCGGCTAAGGGTCGTTTGAGGATCTAATACTAATAAGATTTAATAAGCATTATTTTTAAAAGATTTCTCTGTGATCAATGAAATACCAATAATATTTCAATAATGAAAATAATATGGTAATGAATTCTTAGAACCACCAAAACTTTCCTAAAAAACTATAAATCAGACATTACAAAAAATTAGATACAAAAATATGTATATATATATATATATATATATATATACATATATATAGTGTGTGAGTGAGATGAATATACAAAAATGCGCTAAAATGCGTTTAAATAAAAGCGTTTTTACGCACAAAACAAAACAAAATAGAACAGACTAGAACAAAATAATGTAAAACAGAACAATAAATAGAATAGAAACCAAAGAATGTAATAGTTTTACACAGATCGGAATATAATAGAAAATAATAGATATTTTTATTAAGAGATATTTTTGTTAATATTAGACTGTATACATTTATTTTTTAAGAGATATTATTATTACATTATATTATAATATTAGGCTGTGCGTTTTCTTCCTCTTGTCCGCAAAAAAATAAATAAATAAATAAACTAAATAAAATTGAGGACAAAATGTTCTACTTTCAAACAAAGCCACAGAGTGGGAAATCAGAATATGTGAATACGTACAGAGCGTGAGACGACACACACATCTCTGATAATAGAGGCTAACTGACTATACCCGCTTTATTAATGCCTGTTTATTAACTGTTCCGTTAAAAACGGCAGAACTTCCTCAGTGTGTCTCTGCTTTGTAGGGAACCATGAGAAAGGCTGAGCGGTAATTCTTACCTTTGCACACACAAGAGCATCACGAGCTGTCCCCCCGGTGTCCCCGCTGACAGCCTAAATCACTCCAGCACACCGGAGAATGACCGCTAACCGGAGTCCGCTCCAGAGCCAGAGCCGCTGCTGCTGCTGACATTGTTCTCCTCCGTAATATGGCGACAAAAGCTGCAGCAAATCACCGATGAAGAAAAGCCTCCTCAGCACTCGACATCTTAAACGACGCCGATCTCCGAGCTGTCTGCGCCAAAAGAGCGTCGGAGGAAAGAAAACGAGGAAAAGTAGCCGAAATGTTGACACAGTCGCTCGAAACGACGAGCGAACACTCCGACAGTTTAACGTGTTTCTGAGAGAAAGCCGAGAGAAAAAAACGTTTTTTCTGTAAACGTATCGCCCTCGCGAGGTGCGAGCGGACGACCGTTCCGGGAAACGAATTCCCAGAAACCTCGCTTTTTTCTGTGTGTGTATATGTATGTGTGTGTGTGTGCGCATTAGATCAAGCGCGCGCGCGCGGCATGAGCCTACAATCCGCGCGCCTCGCTTCGCAGAACTGCGCTCGCGACCTTCAGCTGCGTTTCCATTGGCTCGCCGAAGAACGCTTCCCTTCCTTCTGTCAGCCCCTCCTCACCACCCGTATTCCGACAAGCCCCGCCCCCTGTGCGGAGCTCAGCCGGGAGCCCCGCCCAGCCCGCGCTGTGATTGGCTGGGTAATTCGAGCTCATGAGAAATCCGAGGAGGGCGTGGTTTGCTAGAACGGCGGACGGCCTTGCGAGTGTGAATTGCCAGCCAATCAGACCGCAGCAGGCAGGGTTTTCTCCGAATACGGGTGGAAAAAACAGCCCACGACGCGTCTGTGCCGTGTGACGTTTTTAGGAAGCAGCCCGGTTTCGCCAGTAATGCGTGCCGGATGACTTTCCTGGTAAACGGCTTTCCTGGAAAGCTGAAGCAGCCGCTCAGAATGACACAGGCTCAGGGCGCCTGCTCTTCTATGAACTGAGCAAGCAGTGAACACAACACATCAGCTTTGGAAAGAAGACGCCTTAATTCAACAACTTTTCAGTTTTTTGGACTCAAGGTTAATGCCTACTGCTCTCATAACATTGTTTCAAATGGCCGATATCCTGTATTCCTCTTGTTTATTTTTTGTTTATTTTTATTCCAAGGTACGCTAATGACATCTGTGTGGTTTTATATACCGAAAATAGACATATGACCATTTATCAACCTCTCTTTATCCCTTTTAATTAAAGCTGTTTTTGTTGCTATTAATTTAAGACCAATATATGTAAACAATCTCTGTTTTCATTGGCTGCCATGTATTGTGCCTCATTTAAAAAGGACTCAAAGCTGAAACACTCCTTATAACTAAAATATTGTAGGTTCAAAAGGTGGATATATGTAAATGCACTAAAATGGGCTGTTCTGCAGCTTATTTTCCATGTATGGATCATGTAAACTGGGGAGTATGGTATATTTTTAAAAATGAACACTGTTTAGATGCTACATTTAACATTTTTATTAGTAAAAAGTTTTCCTTACTTTTTATGTCAGCATTGAAAAAGCTTGTCAGGCCACATTCGTTCCAATATTTATTTCTGAGAAAAAAAAAGAAAAAAAAAACATAGCAGGCTACAGATTAAACGTACAGAGACACGTTTTATTTGAGCAGTGACGTGTAAAATAATCAGAATGTTTTGGTGGACATCCTTGTGGCCTTGGGTGACAGTGGGCAACAGGGAATTGTTTATCAGGCAAGAAACAGAGGTGAATGAAACAAGAACGAAGACAGGCAAGAACAAAAGACATAGAGCAGGACAGACAGCAGCAGACCACAGGAGAAAAAGTAGCGGGGGGGTGTTTCGTCCTGTCTTGAGCGTCTCCATTTTAGCTCTCCTCCCCGTTCTCCCCAGCTCCTTTGATCAGCCGCTTGTTTCCCCGTTTCCCTGAAGGGCCCTTTGGCTTGGTGAAGGCTTGTTTCAGAGCCTGTGGCTTCGGGTGGACTTCTTCATATAAATACTCTTCTGTCAGGCCCTCTCCACTGTCGATCTCCATCTGCACACATGAACACAGAAACATGAAAACACTACAGATAGGGAAGGTGAGCGGAGATCTGATGCAATTTGCTGAAATCAGTCCTGGCTTTGCCCCCTAATCCAGAAAGTGTGGAGATGTGTTTACAAAAAGTGACGAGGTCCATTATTTCTGTTGCTTACTGAATTGGGCTTTACACCGGACTCATACTGGCCACTACTAATTTTCTATTTTGATATTAGTAGCCAAAACAGTGGTATACAAACAGTGAGAAAACTGATAAATGCAATGAAAATGCTTCAACATCACAAAATAAACATTAAAAAATTACCATAAGTATTACAATATATTTCAATGTAAAATGTTTTATTGAAATGTATTTCTTTCTAACACCAAAAAGACTGTGTACTATTTAAGTTAGGGCTGTTCTAATTAAGTTAAATTTGACTTCTCAGTTGAAAATTCATTAATATTTGGCTCACTGATGAAACTTCGGTAATTAGTTGGCATTTGTTTGCTGACTATAATTCATATTTTAAATTCTCCTGTGGTCTCCCTTCCAGTAAGAAACAGAGCATGATGGACACACCTATTTCTATATTATGTGAAGGTCGCCCTGTACAGCCTGAAATGGTACTTTAAAAGTAGGAGTCGCCAGGTTTGACTTCGTGGGAGTTTTTCCGACCACATTATACATCTTTACGTCTTACTGTCACATGCACAGCCTCAAAAAGATGGTCCGGCTCAATGTTTAGGTCGTAAATGCAAAACTATCATTATATTGATTTAATGACGATAGTATAGAATTCACTTACATACCTAGAAGAAACACCCTTCACCAAGTTTTGACCGAGTTCTCTTTTAATACTCAACATGCTTACAATCATAAGATTCATTCGCTCAGAGTAGTTCAGCCGTAAAATATTCTTCTGCATGTTGCATGCAATTATACATTTCCACCAGAGAGGTCTCCAAATCCCCACACTTTACATAGTGTAGCTTTAAGTCTTTTTTTATTGTTTGACCTTTTTTTAAAAACTGATTGAAAACTGAAATATATAGATCACCATCACTACTACTGTTTACTGTTCACATAATAACTAAGCTAATTGAATGTGTTGTCCTGGCCCAGGCTTTTCAGGGAGACTGCCAGTTCTGTCACATCAGCTAACAGATGCAGAGATGTTGGGAGGAACATCCTACCCACCCAGACACAGGCAAGGTCAATAATGCTCTCTTGGACTCTCAGCCATGTATGGCTGTGACATCGCTGGACACTGAACTCTCTCAAACCCCTGATGATAAGGCCAATGCTTAGATGGGACCGATTACCTTCTTGGTGATCTCTATGTGGTAGTCTCTCTCCACCTCCTCCAAAAGCCGGTTCTTACAGCTAGAATAGAGCATCCGTTCCTTAATGCTACAGATGTAGCCAGGCATGGAGTAGATGAACACTGAGAAACACACGCAAACATACAGAGAGAGGGAGAAATTGAAGTGCTTTTAAAATTAAAAATGAAAGTGGTCAGTCCACTCATCTATTATATTCAAACATTATTATTTAAACTTCAGCACTTGTAGTGTATCCACCAATTGTCCTGGGTAAGTTTCTAATAGTGTAATGTGGCTCAAAGCACGGCTTGTATATATATATATATATATATATATATATATATATGTATATATGTATATATGTATATGTATATATGTATATATATATATTTATATTTTTATATATATATATATATATATATACATACAGTACTGTGCAAAAATAAGAGACCACCTTTCATTTATTTAATTTCATAAAAACGAAAGGTTATTCACCCCAGAGTCCAGACATCACCATCAATTAATGTATTTGGGATTACTTAGATTGCAAAAGGCAAAAAATGCAACCAACTTCTAAGACTGAAATTTGGAGATGTGGAAAAATATCTCTGCAGATTTCAAAAAGAACAAACCCTGTAATAAAGGCAAAACATGGACACAACAAATGCTTAAAAAATTCAGTGTAATTTTCTGTTAAATATAAGTTTTCTTCTTTTTCCTGAAGCTGAATGTATACTGGAAATGAATGATTAAAAATGTAATAAACGAAAAGTGGAGGCACTGACCCACAGCCTCCACGCTCTGACCCTGATGAGAATGCTTGTATAAGAAGAAGTGATAGCGAGGGGCATCAGCAGGAATTCTGGCTGGGAGCTCGCGGATCTCTGTGGGATTGGTATGGACCAGCTCAATCGTCTCTCTCTCAGTGTCCAGCCTCTGAGGAAAAAATATGAACACAGGAAGGATGAATGATGTGTGTAAAGGATTGAGATTAACTGATGCTATCAGTTAAATATGAACTATAACAAGTCCTATATATTCTATGCAAAAGTCTGAGACCACCTTTCATTTATTTAATTTCCAATTAAAACAGACATTTTTAGCAACAGGAAAGTCCATTATCTTTATTATAGCTTGCACTCTTTTCAGGATACTTGCTTTTAGTTTTTCTAAGAATCTGCAGGGATACTTTTCCATGCCTCCAAAGTTCAGTCTTAGAAGTTGCATTTGCTGCTTTTCATGATCCAAGTATTCCCACACACATTTAGTGATGTTGAGGTCTGGACTCAGACTGAGGTGGTCAGTCTATTGTTCTGAGAACACTAGCAGCCTCCTTTTTTGGTTTGCAAATGTTCTTCTTTCTTTTTTGTCTATTTTCTTTGCCAAGTAACAGCATCTTGACGGCTACACATCCTTTCAGACTCATAGCGCTGAGTTGTCTTCTCATGGTGGATGGATAGACACCATTGGATTTTTTCAAATGTAAAGCAAGAGTGGAGCTTGATTTTATCCTCTCTCTCAAAGATGAAAGCTTTAAGTACTGTCTATCTGATGGAGACAATTTTGGTGGTCTACCAGTTCTTGCAGGTCTTGTTGTTAGAAGTCCTTCTTTATATTTTTATATTTTAACCATTTTTAAAGTCCAGTTTTGGAAATGCTTGTTTTCCATTGAATTGATTGAATTATCTTATATTTAAACCTGTCAGAAATATCTTCTGAAAAATGAATAACTTGTACTTCATGGGTGTCTTGGCTGGAAATTAAACAAATGAAGATTAGTCTCTGTCTTTTGCATAGCACTGTTTGGGATAACTTGGATCATGAAAAGCACAAAATGCAACCAAAGGCTGAGACTGAACTTTGGAGGCAAAATAACCCTGCAGATTTCTTTAAAAACTGAAAGAAAGTCTCCCAAAAAGCATGGAAGCTGTAACAAATGCAAAGTGTGAACTAAATACAGAACAACATTACATACATATACAGCTATTGTTCATTTTTATTGTTTTTTATTAAGTCCCTTTTTGTTGTTTTGTCATGTTTTGTTTCTAAATTTCTTTAATTTTTTACTTAATTTTTAACCTAAATGTAGTTTTGTCCAATTCAACTCGTCAGCTAAGTCTCCCTCTGACACACAATGCTACCCAGTTGGGAGGGTGAAGACT